TGTGGAGTTCTCCTTTAAACTTGCTCAGTAATCCTGTTTGACAGGGATTTTTGTTTTTACTGTCTTGTACATCTAGCAGTCAAACTCCTTGATGCTGTATCTGATGTGATGCTGGTTAGAAGCTGCTGGGAGCCAGTACCTTCCTTATTGATATTTGTACCTGGATTGTCAGTCCTTCTGTAGACTACTTAAATAATATGTAAACTCAACATATTCCTAATATGTCCCTGCTGTACCATGTACTTGTATGAAAAAGTATCCGCTTCTCTTTGTATTGCTTCCTTTGGAAAATATATGGAAAATATATTTGAAATATATTTTTAAAATATTCTTCCCAAATATATTGCCATATATTCGAAATGCTACAATTTTGGCCATATTCAATATATTTATATATATATATATATATATATATATATATATATATATATATACTGCATGTTGAAATGTGTTTTTATTACAAAATATATGAAAAATATTTTTAAAAATACATTTCAAATATACTGTATGTCTTTAAAAATACAACTATTAATTTTTGGAATGCATTTACAAATGTTTGTAAAAATATATGTTAAAATCACTTTTTATATCTTAAAAAAAATCTGAAGTATATATTTAAAAAATATATATTTAAAAAACAAATTTATTTTTTAAATATGTTTTTAAAGATTTTTTTTAACATATAAATAAAGTAATTGTAACATATATTTTTACATATATTTGTAAATGCATTCCAAAAATGTAGATTTGTAATTTAAAGACATACAGTATATTTGAAATGTATTTGTAAAAATATTTTTCATATATTTTGTAATAAAAACGCATTTCAACATGCAGTATGTGGGTGTATGTATATGTGTGTGTATATATATATATATATACACAGTGGGGCAAAAAAGTATTTAGTCAGCCACCAATTGTGCAAGTTTTCCCACTTAAAAAGATGAGAGAGGCCTGTAATTGGGCATCATAGGTAGACCTCAACTATGAGAGACAAAATGAGAAAAAAAATCCAGATATTCACATTGGCTGATTTGGAAAGAATTTATTTGCAAATTATGGTGGAAAATAAGTATTTGGTCAATATCAAAAGTTCATCTCAATAGTTTGTTATATATCCTTTGTTGGCAATGACAGAGGTCAAACGTTTCCTGTAAGTCTTCACAAGGTTGGCACACACTGTTGCTGGTATGTTGGCCCATTCCTCCATGCAGATCTCCTCTAGAGCAGTGATGTTTTGGGGCTGTCGCTGGGCAACACGGACTTTCAACTCCCTCCAAAGGTTTTCTATGGGATTGAGATCTGGAGACTGGCTAGGCCACTCCAGGACCTTGAAATGCTTCTTATGAAGCCACTCCTTCATTGCCCAGGCGGTATGTTTGGGATCATTGTCATGTTGGAAGACCCAGCCACGTTTCATCTTCAATGCCCTTGCTGATGGAAGGAGGTTTGCACTCAAAATCTCATGATACATGGCCCCATTCATTCTGTCCTGTACATGGATCAGTGGTCCTGGTCCCTTTGCTGAGAAACAGCCCCAAAGCATGATGTTTCCACCCCCATGCTTCACAGTAGGTATGGTGTTCTTTGGATGCAACTCAGCATTCTCTCTCCTCCAAACACGACGAGTTGTGTTTCTACCAAACAGTTCTATTTTGGTTTCATCTGACCATATGACATTCTCCCAATCCTCTTCTGGATCATCCAAATGCTCTCTAGCAAACTTCAGACGGGCCCGGACATGTACTGGCTTAAGCAGGGGGACACGTCTGGCACTGCAGGATCTGAGTCCCTGGCGGCATAGTGTGTTACTGATGGTAGCCTTTGTTACGTTGGTCCCAGTTCTCTGCAGGTCATTCACTAGGTCCCCCCATGTGGTCCTGGGATTTTTGCTCACCGTTCTTGTGATCATTTTGACCCCACGGGGTGAGATCTTGCGTGGAGCCTCAGATCGAGGGAGATTATCAGTGGTCTTGTATGTCTTCCATTTTCTAATTTTTGCTCCCACAGTTGATTTGTTCACACCAAGCTGCTTGCCTATTGCAGATTCAGTCTTCCCAGCCTGGTGCAGGTCTACAATTTTGTTTCTGGTGTCCTTCGACAGCTCTTTGGTCTTCACCATAGTGGAGTGTGGAGTGTGACTGTTTGAGGTTGTGGACAGGTGTCTTTTATACTGATAACAAGTTCAAACAGGTGCCATTGATACAGGTAATGAGTGCAGGACAGAGGAGCCTCTTAAAGAAGAAGGTACAGGTCTGTGAGAGCCAGAAATCTTACTTGTTTGTAGGTGACCAAATACTTATTTTCCACCATAATTTGAAAATAAATTCTTTCCAAATAAGCCAATGTGATTGTCTGGATTTTTTTTCTCATTTTGTCTCTCATAGTTGAGGTCTACCTATGATGCCAATTACAGGCCTCTCTCATCTTTTCAAGTGGGAGAACTTGCACAATTGGTGGCTGACTAAATACTTTTTTGCCCCACTGTATATATATATATTTTTTTTTTATATATTGAATATGGCCAAAATTGTAGCATTTCAAATGTATGGCAATATATTTGGAAAGAATATTTTTTAAATATATTTCAAATATATTTTTCTTCCATGTGGGGAGGGCTTACATATACAGTACTTTTAAAGCTGTACACTTTTTGCCTCCTTGTATTCCTTACTGCCAATTTTCTGCAAAATGTCAGTCTCAGAGCCTACTCAAGGCCAATCAACCATCCTCAGACACTTCCAAATAGGAAGAAGAGGATGACCTATATACTGGTTTGGACTGGAATGTGCTGCAGAGTTCTCTGCAAAGCATTGTAAGTATTTTAAGAACCTCTAAAGAGGTGTTGCAATTTCCCTATGGTGACTGCACTAAAAGTTTATTCTAGAAGAAAAAGGAAATAGAGCAAAAGGCATTCCTTCCCTGGGTGATTGAATAAATGGGGAAGGGGAGAGAGGTGCCCAAGGAACCAATATAGTGTAGTATGTCATTTTATTAAAAAGATCATTAAAATCATATAGTATTGCATTCACAAGGGTGAAGTGTTTGCAGGCATGTCATTATGGCAGAAGTCCATAACCACAGGCAGCTGGATAGCGCGATCCAGTGGGAGCTGGATGGAGAGGCAGCCACTGGAGGTGCAGAGAGGATTGGTGCCTTAAAGAGCGGGATGCAAATCCAGGAGCGTAGAAAGAAGTGCAAGAGCTTCAGCTGCTGTGTGCACTAGCAAATCAGTGGATCGCTGGAACTGAAGCTTCGCTGGAAAGGACTGCCGTGCAGGAAAGGATAAGCAGCCTGGTAACACCACTCAGGGTGTGAGCATGTATGACTCTAGGGCAGGGGCGGTCTGATCATTGGGGAACTCGGGCACTGCCCGAGGGCCCGGGGTCAGTAGGGGGCCCCATGAGATGTCCCTGTTACCTTTCATAGGCTTTTTTGGGTGTAGTTTGAGTGTGGGCGAGGACACAGGGGCCCCATGATCCCCTATTGCCTGGGGGCCCATTTATTTTTAGTCCGCCCCTGCTCTAGGGAACGCGTTTTCGGAAGAACAACAAACTTTCCTCATCAGCCTAACACAATACCTCCAGAGATTAAATAGTGTGAGTTAATTGTTAACCCCTGCTGATCTGCAGTCTGGCTGGAAATAGCATCAAGACAGATAATACAGGAACTGTCATTCCAAAAAAAGACTAGATCAGCACAGCCTAGTACAAACAGACTAATTTTGTTAAGCAGCAATTAAGCCAAAAACAGTAGAAATAATAAATGATTAAGTGAACTTCGTTAAAGTCTATATTAAGATTATCATCAATCAAAAAAATTCATATGTAATAAAAAAAAAATATTATTATTATTATACAGGATTTATATAGTGCCAACAGTTTACTCAGAGCTTTACTATATATAACGGGAGACAATACAGCAACAATACAGTTCAATACAAGAGGGATAGGAGGGCCATGCTCAATCTAGGAGATATATATATATATATATATATATATATATATATATATATATAGTATATATTTGGACATGTTGAAAATATCCATTGTCTGAGACCTTAAACTGTGTCCACAAATATCTAAAAAACAGAAGCTGCTATCTTTAGGAAGGGAGAGAACTGAATATTGATTGTTGCTAGCAGTAGCCAATAGGTTTTGTAATGTGGATTGGCCAAAATAGGGGGAGAGAGAAAGGTGGATGAGGGTTGATGTGCTTCTAATCATGACGAGAGATCCTAGATGGTTGTAGCCTCAAAAGGAAAGAAATAATGGGAGAGGAGTCATGAAAAAATGTTGAAAGTTGGAACAGATAATATGATGTTATTAACCTCCAAATCTTCATTTAGGCCATTGGGTGTAAGACTACCTAGTCTGAATATCCAATAGGTTTCTTGGGCACATTATTTTTTTTAAATTATGGCAGCATTGGAGCCCTCCCAGTTTGTATGAGTAGGTTAGTTATGGAACACATGGACTGGATCAGTCTCAAAATTTATGGTAGTTGGGTCCTATGGGGTAGGAGTGAGGGCGGAATTCATACCATTCATATGCTGCCATGGAGGTAATAATGAGAGGAAAAATTTATGTAAAATATTTGATAACAATTTCCATTATCTCTACACTCCTATAGTAAGAATTTTAGTTGCACATGTATGATATACAAATAGTCACCAAAGTGTGAGCTATCATAAAAATGTTGACTTTCAACCATAGAAAAATGTGAATACTGTAACGTAAACTTTCATAATTAACTCAAAATACTGCATGTATTCACTGAAAATGCTTTCTTTTCCTAATGTTGATATTTTTTAACAGCCCAAAATTCTTATCTGGTATTGCTAATGCTGAACTTCGCAAGTGGGCCCTAAATCTTACTTCTCTTTGGAAATCTTTAGGTAGAAAGGTAAGAATATACAGGGCATTTAAATATGTCTTTAACAGTGTCTGTAACCATTATTTTACTTATCTGGCACAAAAGAATTGAACCTCATTATCTTACAGATCAAAGAAGAGGTAAAAATACAACCAGAACGATATTCGCTAATCTATGTTCCAAATCCACTGATAGTACCTGGAGGCAGATTCCGAGAGTTTTATTACTGGTGAGTAAAAATTAAGCAACGCACCTTAATAGATTTGATAATTGAAAAGCTAATAAATTAATGTATGCTATTTATTTTGCTTCAGGGATTCGTATTGGGTGATTAATGGACTCATTCTCTCTGAAATGACCCAAACAGCCAGAGGGATGATAGAAAATTTCCTTTACATGGTACAACGGTGAGCTGGGCTAAGTCTATCAATCCAAGTTAGGGCCATGTATTAATGCCATCACATAAAAACAAGATTAGGTGAGGGGAAATTAAACTGAGTACAGTGACAAAAGAAGAAGCAAATACACAGTAAGGAGAGCAGAAAGGGAAATGTACTGTATGTGTGTATAGGGCAGTTTCAGAGGTTTTGCTTTTAATTTCAGATATGGAATGATCCCTAATGGAGGGAGAACATATTACATTCGCAGAAGCCAACCACCATTCCTTACTTTAATGATGGAAAGCTACATGGAAAGCCAAAAGAACCTTACCTTTCTCAGGTACATTCTTGATATATTGTTATTGGTATGACCTATCCTATGAAAGTAGAGAAGAGGAACTTACATTCTGACAATCTTTCTCTCACAAAGGGAAACCATCCCACTGTTGGTAAAAGAGTATGACTTCTGGATGAATAATCGGAGTATATCAGTGCCACTCAATGGAAACAATTACACACTAAATCGCTACTATGTGCCAGTAGGGGAACCAAGGTGAGAAGATTCTTACTGTAATGTTAGACTTACTTAACAGCTTAAAGTGCATGTAGAGGTAAACTCATTTTTTTTTTTAGTTTAGGATAAAGTAGGAAAGTGTTGGATATAGGGATGCACTGATACTGATACCGGTACCTGAAACCGATACTTTGTGGTACAATTTGCATCAATTGACGCAAATTGCATTCGGTAAGATTCCTATCCAAATCGTATGCCGGTCCCCACTGCTCCTGTGTGAACCCAGGCTTGTCATAACCTTAGTTCACACAGGAGAAGTGCAGGAAGCCTGTCACAGACCCATGCTGTCACAGAACAGACACGGTGATCATCAGCACAGGAGGCTTCATGCTCCCCATGTATTCTCCGGTGGACATCTCTTTGTGAAGTTGGTGGTGGGGGCTGGAACACGAGCCTGCAGTATCCTCTCTTGGTGTCATCCTAGCAAGGAGAGGTCTGGGGATTTGAAATCCCCACAGCTTTCTTTCCTCTTAGTGCAGAGGTGACAGTATGGGTTAGACAGCATCTGATTGGTCAGTACAGTCACTGTGCTGACCAATCAGAAGCCATCTAGCCCATACTGTCATCCTTGCAAGGAGAGGAGAGAAAGTGTGGGGATTTCAAATCCCCAGACCTTTCCTTGCATGTATAACACTCGGAGAGGACACTGCAGGCTCATGTTCCAGCCCCCCACCACCCCCTTCACAAAGAGATGTCCACCGGAGAATACATGGAGGGGAGCATGAAGCCTCCTGTGCTGATCGCCGTGTCTGTGCTGCTGGAAGGAGCTCCAGTGACCTGTGTGACAGCTCCACCTCCAGCTAGGAGTCAACTTCCTCACTGGCTACAACAAGGGACACAATATGGTGGCACGGCCAGGCCATGCTGGTCAGGATCCAGTACCTACACTCCAGCAACCTGATCCTTCTCCTGGGTGAGTGAGACAGCCCTGTCTCCTCCATACACCACCCCATCTTCTCTAGGGACAGGGGCCCCATCTTTAGATCATGCTGGCTGGCAGGCCTTGTGCTTATGGTGTCAGGATGGGGGGGGGGGGGGGGAGTGTGTAAAATCAGAATCCCAACCCACAGGGAGGTTTCCCATACTGCTCCCGTGTGAAATCAAGTTTTGACAAGCCTGGGTTCACACACGAGCAGTGGGGAAACCACATGCAATTTGGACAGGAATTATACCGCATTCCTGTTAAAATCTCATGACATTCTTTGCAGTGCAATTTGTGTCCACACATGTTGAATGGACGCAAGTTGCACTGCAATATATCAGTATCACCGAAAGTATCGGTACTCGTACTCACCGAACAAAAAAGGGTAACAGTGCATTCCTAGTTAGATACCCAGTCAAGTTTTTATTATTGTCTCTGCCCCCTTTAACCCTCCATTTTTGTCCTGGTGACTATCGTCATAGTGAAGAGCAAGCCAAAATTGTAGAGTTGTTATCAGAGAAGGAAGTGAGGATGAACCATTTAACCCTTTCACTGCTGTCACCATAGCTATTGCAGAAGCACTAGCATGCAAACAACCCTTGAGCTGCTGAAACAGCTGGGGTTTGTTTACTTTTGTACGGCCAGCTGCCAGCTTTCTAGTAGCAGTGATTTGAGTGGATGTAAAGCTATCAAATCACTTCTACATTGCTGGGGAAGTATCTATCTAGAGTCATTAATAATGGTTAACTCTAAATTTATTGAGCACCAAATGAACCATCAAATAAATGAATGCTGCCTAAAATGAGAATTTAAAGTGGAATTTCACCAAAAGGGGAAGTTCAGTTTTTCTGTCTCCTCTAACACCTTTGGACACAATTTGTTTTTTGGGGGGGAGCAGGTACCAAGTTTTAGCATAGACGATCCGAGTGGGTGTTAGGCCCCAACCCCCTCCCTTTGCCTGCAGGTTTCTGGGACAAGTCACACGTCGCAGAAGGCTTCAGGGACCATTCACGAAGCGCAGCCTGGCTTGCACATGCTCAATAGAATGCTGGCTGTGAAGCCACTAGGACTCGCAGCTGGCTCCATTAGTAAACATGCCGGAAGTGGGGACCCAAAGATCGGTGCGCAGTTGAGGACGACTCTGGATTAAAAGTGAGAAGCTACAGTATTTGTAGCAGCTGACTTTAAATTTTTTGAGGTACCACTGAAGGGCAATGTGACCTCCCTTGTCCCTACTGTCATTCAAAGCACAGGAAGTCTTGTGAAAATCCAAGATTCCTGGCTGTATCTGACTTCGGTATGTTTCAGCCATAGTCCCAGAACAAACATGCTGTAAAATCAGGGTCAGAAATGTGTTAAAACTACTTTTCTTTGTACTTGTTTTGGGTCAGCGACAGCAGTGAGGTCAAAGTATCAGAATGACAGCATAAGGACTAGCATTCTCAAAGGAGAGTTCATTATTGGCCGCCTCCAACAATCTTTCATGACAGTGTCCTTCAAAAAACAGTAAATGTTATAAACTGTTTGACCTCAGGGCAGTTCAGGATTCTTCATGCTGGTATCCTACAGTTCTAAAAGTTAAGCAATGCAATTTATTATGAACACAAGAACACAAGTGACATAAAACATAAGTACAGCAGTAAACACACAGGAAAACTAGAAAACTAACTGCTTAACAATCTAAATATAAACAGAGAAGAAGGGAAATCAAGTAGACAAGGGTCAGGCAGAAGTATATAGATGAGTGCTAAATCTGGTGCAGCTCTGCATAGAAACCAATCAGCTTCCAGTTTTTTTTTGTCAAAGCTTTATTGAACAAGCTGAAGTTAGAAGCTGATATGCTCCTATGAACAACTGCGCCAGATTTTGCACACTTCAGTCTTAGTAAATCAACCTCATAGTTACAGGGAATTAGACAGGTTGGAAATGGGGGTCAGAGTGGGTAGCATGTTCAGGGAGTAACAGATCCAAAGTATACAGTTCCATAGATAAAATAATGTTGAACTGTGTGGCTCCTGGGGTGCAGACTATATATATTCTACATAGATACAGTTCTGCTCAAAAGTTTTCATACCCTCGCAGAAATTGTGAAATTTTGGCATTGATATTGAAAATATGACTGATCATGCCAAAAAATGCTCTTTTATTGAAGCCATTTATTTTCAAATTGTTGTTTGGCTCCTTTTTAAATCATAATGATAACAGAAATTACCCAAATGGCCATGATCAAAAGTTTACATACCCTGGAATGTTTGGTCTTGGTCCGGACACACAAGATGACACACACGGGTTAAAATGCCAATTAGAGGTTAATGTCCCACATCTGTATCTTTTTAAATTGCAATTAGTGTCAGTGCATAAATAGTCAATGGGTTTTTTAGCTCTTACGTGGAAGCACTGACTAAGCTAGATACTGAGGCATGGTAATCAGAAAAAAACTGTCAAAAGTCCTGCATAACAAGGTAATGGAACTTTATAAAAATGGAAAAGGACATAAAAAAGATGTCCAAAGCATTGAATATGCCAATCAGTACTGTTAAATCACCTATTAAGAAGTGGAAAGTTCGGGGATCTCATGAAACCAAGCCAAGGTCAGGTAGAGCAAGAAAGATTGCAGCCATAACTGACAAAAGAATTGCAGGGGTTTCAAAGAAGAGCACAACTGTATATATATATATATATATATATATATATATATATATATATATATAGTGAGGAACAGAAGTATTTGAACACCCTGCGATTTTGCAAGTTCTCCCACTTAGAAATCATGGAGGGGTCTGAAATTCACATTGTAGGTGCATTCCCACTCTGAGAGACAGAATTAAAAAAACAATTCAGGAAATCACATTGTATGATTTTTAAAGAATGTATTTGTCTTGCACTGCTGAACATAAGTATTTGAACACCTAAGAAACAGCAAGAATTCTGGCTCTCAAAGTCCTGTTACTGTGCCTTTAAAAAGTCCACCTCTACTCCACTCATTAATCTAACTTAGTAGCACCTGTCTGAGCTCTTTAAAGACACCTGTCCACCCCACAGTCAGTCGGACGCCAACTACTACCATGGGCAAGACCAAAGAGCTGTCAAAAGACACCAGAGACAAAATTGTGGACCTCCACAAGGCTGGAAAGGGCTACGAGGCAATTGCCAAGCAGCTTGGTGAAAATAGATCAACTGTTGGAGCAATTGTTAGAAAATGGAAGAGGCTAAAGACGACTGTCAGTCTCCCCTCGGACTGGGGCTCCATGCAAGATCTCACCTCGTGGGGTATCACTGATGATAAGAAAGGTGAAGAATCAGCCCAGAACTACAACGGAGGAGCTGGTTAATGACATGAAGAGAGCTGGGACCACAGTTTCAAAGGTCAATGCCGGTAGAACACTACGCCGTCATGGTTTCAAATCATGCATTGCACGGAAGGTTCCCCTGCTCAAGTCATCACATGTCATCACATGTCCAGGCCCGTCTGAAGTTTGCCAATGACCATCTGGATGATCCAGAGGAGGCATGGGAAAAAGTCATGTGGTTAGATGAGACCAAAGTAGAACTTTTTGGTCTAAAGGAAAAAGGATGAGTTGCTTCCCTACTCGTCGTTTGGGGTGTGCTTTTCTGTGTGGGGAGGAAAAAGGAGAGGATGAGTTGTGCGATTTTGAGCCCAACCTCCTTCCCTCACAGAGCCATGGCTGGGTCCCAACATGACTACGATCTGAAGCACACAGGGGAGTGGTAACATCATGCTTTGGGAGTGCTTTTCTGGGAAGCCCCGGGACAGAGACGAGTTGCAGTGTGTGCAAACCTGGTCAAGAACTACAGGAAACCTTGACCTCTGTAATTGCAAACAAAGGCTTCTGTACCCAGGGGCGGACTGACAACTCATGGGACCCCCCGGGAATAGGGGATCATGGGGCCCCTGTGTCCTTGCCCAAGCTCAAAAAAGTCTATGAAAAAGGTACCAGGGGCATCTCATGGGGCCCCCTACTGACCCCGGGCACTCGGGCAGTTTCTGTCTCTCAGAGTGGGAATGCACCTACAATGTGAATTTCAGATTCCTCCATGATTTCTAACTGGGAGAACTTGCAAAATCGCAGGGTGTTCAAATACTTCTGTTCCTCACTGTATATATATATATATATATATATATATATATTATAGCTTTTAATGGCTAATAGCTGGGACTGGCTGACTAGTTGATGACTGCTCCACAGGTGGAATCGGCAGCCGGTGTTTCTGAGAGAATTGTATGTAATATCCTTACGGTTGTGGCAGTGGCATAAAACGTTTGGTTATCTGTAGTTTCTTGTACATCTGTAGAGGTCTATTTTTATTATCGCCTTGAACAGAAACCTTGTTTTTGACAGTAGTAGAAGAATATTAAGGTATAAATCTGTAATATTAAAAAAAAAAAATTCTGATATTTACAGGCCCGAGTCTTATTCTAAAGATTTTGAGCTTGCGGAAAACCTTACGACAAAAGGTATAAGACTTTGCTTGTATCTTTCTTCTATTGTTGTTGATGTTATATCATAAAAGCCCTGTGTGCTAGCAGAATTTCCTTTTATATGTAGAAGCAAAGGAGTTGTTGTACTCGGACCTTGCAGCTGCTGCGGAGTCTGGTTGGGACTTTTCTACCCGTTGGTTCTATGGTTCCACAAATACATTGCTAGATACAAAAACCAGCTCTGTTGTTCCTGTGGACTTGAATGCCATCTTGTGTCGTGTGGAGAGAACATTGGTCAAATTCTACACTGATCTAGGTGAGATATTATTATTATTACTATACAGGATTTATATAGTGCCAACAGTTTGCTCATTGCTTTACAATATAATGGGAGACAATACAGCAACAATACAGTTCAATACAAGAGGGTTAGGAGGGCTCCTTGGAGCCCACAATCTAAGAGATATTAGATACAGTTTATAATATGTACCCAACTCTTTCAGTGATAGAGATCAGGCTACTGATTTATAATGATGAAAAATAATTGGCACATTTAGATATGTAGGTGCTAAACCTCATACAATCCCAAATCTATTATATTTTTGGGGACAACACAAAAGCATGTTTTTTTAATTTGAGAACTTGGTTTAATCTATAAAACACTAAATGTCAATTTACTGCTTAAAATATTCCGTACAATATTCCTTACAATTTACTTGAAATGTTAGTAGCAAATGTAAAAGTGCCTACTTTAGGACAGTGTTGTATTTGCTGCCCACGAACACTCACAAAAACAAGGGGGTTGATTTACTAAAGTAATAGAGGTTGTACACTTTGTAAGAATGTGTCCACTTCAATCATTCAATTATGTGCAAACAAAATCCTATTTTTTAAATTTTCCTTGCACTTGATTGGGTATTGACAGTGAACACAGCTTCACCGTATTTATTAAGCCAAGTTGCTGTACGCTTTGCAAGGTAACCTTCACTTTGCTAGGTGAACAGCATATACTCTTTTAGTAAATGAGTCCTACCAGGTGTAGAGATAAACTGCTAGGAGTATTGCCTAGTTTCTCTATGAAATATTAGCATCAGGACTGCCAGTTATGGTTCTACCCATATTGTTGTGACTAGAGATGAATGACTTTTGTAAACCATACTCTGCACACTATTGCACAATTGTAAATGTGGATCAGATCATGTTCTGTTGTCATCCATTCTTCCTTTTTACTCATTGGGGTTTCATTTGAAGGAGTTAAATATTTATGTATCCAAGAGCAGCTGTGTTGACTTCAGTCATCCAACCATGTGGAAGGGGAACATATTTTCCGAGTCTCCTGTAAAACATGGGTATCTTGAACCTGATTGCAGAAGCTATATCACCTACCCTACTACATTGATTGATGTGCAACCTTTTTTAAAAAGGTTTAAAGTGGTTCTAAGGCTGCATTCACACTTAAGTGTTTTGTAGCTTGACGCTCCAAAAACACTCAAACTTAAAAAATCAATTGTGCATTATGAAGCCTGTTTGCGCAGTCAGGTGTGAACAGGCACCATAGAGAACAATTCATTTTTTAAGTTTGAGCTTTTTTGGAGATTCAAGCTACAAAACACTCAAGTGTGAGTGCAGCCTAAAGGCTCAGGGTTTTTTTACCTTCATGTATTCTATGCATTAAGGTAAACACTTTCTGTGTGCAGGGAGCAACCCAGCCCCCCCCCCAATCTTTACCTGAGCCCCGTCTGATCCAGCAATGTTCACAGTAGCCTTGGTTGTATGCGGACCCATTCTCCTCAGTGGCTCAGGAGTGAGCATGTAGCAGTACCCTCAGGGTAAACAGCTTTCTCTGTGGGCACTGCTCGAGGGGGAGGAGCCAGAAGCGCTGGCAGGGTATCCGAAAAGAAGAGGATCGGGGAAGCTGTGTGCAAAACCACTGCACAGAGCAGGTAAGTATGACATTTGTTATTTTATTAAACAAAAATAAATAAATAAAGGAAGCTTTAATATCACTTTAATGTTACCTTGTTTATGATTGGATTCCTATGTAAGCTACAAAAGAGATCAAAGACTATCTAATACACCATGGAAGTAAAGCAGGGCTATGGAAAGTGGAATATGTCCCAGGCAGTGGTAGCTCATCAAGGAGATGTGTTTCCTTTCAAATCCTCAACTCATTGTCATTGGTTGTAAGTTAAGAGGCATCACTAATCAACCTCACACACAAGGACAAGGAAGAGGAACTGCCTTCAGTTCTGACATCACTGAGAACAATGTAGGAAGGATGCAGTCCAAGAAGAAGTGGAGGGGGTGCAGGAGGGAAGTTATGATCAGGACCGGTGCTAGAGGAGGAAAGGATAATCACTTCGCCAGTGAAAGGCTGTGAGCTGTTACGGCCGGCTGTCACTGATCAGCATTGCAAAACGCAGCGAGCCACCTGTACCTGAAATTTAAAAAAGAGTCCCTCTCTGCTCCTTGCCTCCTGGGCCCCTCTGGTGAACTGATGGGCCCAGAGAAAATATAATTAATGTTACAATGGGGCCGGCTGTACTGCCCTATCAGTGGCCCTAGCTGTGGCTTCTCTCTAGGCGGCTGCCTTGTTTGTCTAGTGGTAGCCCCGGCCCTGATTATAATTATAATAAAGAGGGGAGTGAAAAGAGTAGGAAGGGAATATAGTTCAGATCAGGGGCGGACTGACAACTCATGGGGCCCCCGGGCAATAGGGGATCATGGGGCCCCTGTGTCCTTGCCCAAACTCAAAAAAGCCTATGAAAAAGGTACCAGGGGCATCTCATGGGGCCCCCTACTGACCCCGGGCCCTCGGGCAGTGCCCGAGTTTCCAAATGGTCAGTCCGCCCCTGGTTCAGATTCAGCTTCTTGGAAAAGAGGATGACCATGATTACAATTTGCAGTGAGAATGGAGAGTTTCTTGGGCTCAGGCAAACTGGTTACCATGGCTGGATACATGCTTGCTTTCTAAATGATGGGAGTCTCCAGGTCGAAGACAGAGGGATATCTAACTGGTAACCAATCTTTTGGACCCTGGATATAACAGCAAAATGGACAAGTATTTGCAGGCTGCTGAAAGGGAAGACAAACTGAAACATTCTCAAGCTACGCTCTGCACCCAGAGCAGCTGTCTGCCATCTTTGAGGATCAGATACTTCTATATTTACAGCAAATTATTGCTATAAAAACAGTGGTGCCGGCCACTTCAGCATACTGAAAATAAAGGGGATTTTTTCATGCTCAGGCAGAAAAGGACGGTGAAGACTTTTATCTGGACTACGCCATGATCACTGAAACTGAACTAATATCACCAGTGATTACTGAGTCTTTCGACTCTAAACAATTTGTAATACAATTTCTCTCATGTCTTTCCTCCTACATCACTGTAGAGCAGCCTTTCCCAACCTTTTCAACACAGAGGAACCCTTGCAGTAACTTTTTAGTCCCACGGAATCCCTGCTAAAAATCACTATATCACTTGTGATATTGGGAAGAATTATCCCCTTATATATAGCTAAATAAATTACTGGTATCAGTGGGAACTTATCTGAGAGGCAGAAATTACTCATTGCTCATGAAATTCCTAGCAACCTCTGGAGGAACCGGACAATTGTCTGCATTGAGAAAATTATTTTACAAAACTGTATTGGGGCGAATAAGCTGACAATTTTATCTGTCTATACTTCACATAAGCTAGACATACACTCATCGGCTACTTTATTTATTAGGCACACCTTGCTAGTGCCAAGAAAATATCCCCCACACCCTTACACCACCACTACCAGTCTGAACCGTTGATACAAGGCAGGATGGATCAATGCTATCACATTGTTTACGCAAAATTCTGACCCTACCATCTAAATGTCACAGCTGAAATCGAGACTCATCAGACCAGACAATATTTTTACAATCTTCTAGTGTCCAATTTTGGTGAGCCTGTGCAAATATTAACCTCCGTTTCCTGAGAGATGTCTCTAGAGATGTTTCTCTATTATAGGTTAGTCATGAAAAGAACAGAGGACAAACATACCTAGAAATTACCGTGATCATAGAGCCCAGTCATCATACCAGTTCTCACTGCTAGGCATGATGAACCAATCTGTTGTCTATCATCAACCAAACTGATTTAATAAAAGACACATACTAATTGCATGCAGGGCTGATTTTTTACAAGTTATATAAACACAACGACTAGAGAATAGTGAATGGATTACAAGAGAACAGAGTTTGTTCCAGGTTTCAAACATTTCACTGAGGGATGAGGTTCAGGTTTAAAGCCACCTTTGGTTTGAGGTGAATCTTACAGTTTAACAGATCAGTGAAACTCTGAATGTATTGAACAAATTGGCACTTGAGCGCAGTCACTGCCTAGTCCTGATCATATGGGATTCTGAGAGCCTATAATCAGAAAGAATGGACACGCCAGCCCCCATTATAAAGATATAGCATCCTAGCAGCCATATTGTCCCTTTGTTTTGGAGCTGGTTTGGGAATATTAACAAATCTGTGTTGGGAGAGATACTATACTATACTATACTGAGCTATAGTGTAGATTGCAGTGTGGTGACCTACTGTATATACCTTTGTGTACAGCCCTGGGCAAAGGTTTTAAGAATGACACAAATATTAATTTTCACAAAACCTGGTGCTTCAGTGTTTTTAGATGTTACTATGGTATACTGAAGTATAATTACAAGCATTTCATAAGTGTCAAAGGCTTTTATTGACAATTACATTACGTTTATGCAAAGAGTCAATATTTTCAATATTGACCCTTCTTTTTCAAGGCTTCTGCAATTCAACCTGGCATGCTGTTAATCAACTTCGGGGCCACATCCTGATTTATGGCAACCCATTCTTGAATAACCAATGCTTGGAGTTTGTCAGAATTTGTGGGGCTTTTTTTGTTCACCCGCCTTTTGAGGATTGACCACAAGTTCTCAATGGGATTAAGTTTCCTGGCCATGGACCCCAAGCCACTTAGTTATCTCTTTGCTTTATGGCAAGGTGCTCCATCATGCTGGAAAAGGCATTGTTCTTCACCAAACTGTTCTTGGATGGTTGGGAGAAGTTGCTCTCTTAGGATGTTTTTGTACCATTCTTTATTCATGACTGTGTTCTTAGCAGGGGCGGACTGACAACTCATGGGGCCCCGGGCAATAGGGGATCATGGGGCCCCTGTGTCCTTGCCCAAACTCAAAAAAGCCTATGAAAAAGGTACCAGGGGAATCTCATGGGGCCCCCTACTGACCCCGGGCCCTCGGGCAGTGCCCAAGTTTCCAAATGGTCCGTCAACCCTTGGTTCTTAGGCAAAATTGTAAGTGAGCCCACTCCCTTGGCTGAGAAGAAACCCCACACATGACTGGTCTCAGGATGCTTTAGTGTTGGCATGACACCAGGGGCGGACTGACAACTCATGGGGCCCCCGGGCTGTAACAGATAATGGGGCCCCCTGTGCCCCCGCCTACACTCAAGCATACCCACACAACACCCTACCTATATATTGCAGCTCAGCTGCATAAAAGGGGAATTTAAATATTTACTGCAGCAAAGACTGCATGAATGTTCCCGGCTTCTTTCCGTAAAAGCCACTAGGCACTTTCAGGTTTAAAGATGGCTGCCATGTGGGGGAAGTGAAAGAGAGAGAGAGGGGAGTGAGAGGGTGAAAAAGAGCAGGGATGTGAGAGCGAGAGAGTGAGAGAGAGAGGAAGGGATGAGAGTGAAGCCGTGTGTTTTAATATACGCTAAAAATTGAGTGTGGCTTAAAATGGGTGTGGTGAAATAGTATCTGAGATGACTTATATAGTGCAGAATGAGGTAATGTTAAATAGGGAATGTGTAGTGTGGAGTGTATGACAGTGGGTAGTATGTACAGGGAGAGGAGTGTATGGCGGTGGGTAATATGTGTAGGATGGTGTCAATAGGTGGTGTCAGTAGTTCTTCATTTTTATTAGTATTATTTTAAATTTTTTTACAATTTTATGATTTTTTTTTTACAAATTAATATTTTTATTATTATTATTATTATTGTGTCAGTAAAGCAATGGCATGGGAGTCAGCATTTTTTAATTTATTATCTAATTTTTAAATTATTTTTTACAATTTATTTCTGTATTATTTTTTTCACAATGATTTTGTGGGGGCAGTGGACAGTGTCAGTAGGGAGTGAACAGGGAGCACTAGTATATGTTGGGCTGTCATTAGATTAGGATGAATAAACAGAACCTGTAGTACCCCCTTATATCGGAAGGAAGGAAATGGATGGAGGGAAGGAAGGAAGGAAGGAAGAAAGAAAAGGGATGGAGGGAGGGAATGGATGGAGGAAGGAAGAGGAGGGAAGGAAGGAGGGGTGAGGGAAAGAAAGAATGAAGGGAGGGGATGGAGGAAGGAAGGGAAAGAAAAAAATGGAGGGAGGGAGGGAATGGATGGAGGAAGAAAGGAAAGAAAATGGATGGAGGAAGGAATGAAGGAAAAGGAGGGAAGGAAGTTAGGAAGGGAGGGAGAGAGGGAAAGGATGAAGGAAGGAGGGAGGGAATGGATGAAGGAAGGAAGGAAGGGAAGGAAAGAAGGAAAGGAAGAAAAGGGAGGGACGAAGTAATGAAGGGGAAGGAAGGAAGGAAGGGGAGGGAAGGGGGAAAGAAGGAAGGAATGATTGAAAGACGAGGAGGAAGGGAAGGAAAAAATGAAGCGAGGGGATGGAGGAAGGAAGGAAGGACTGAAGGAAGGGGAGGGAAGGGGGAAAGAAGGAAGGAATGATTGAAAGAGGAGGAGGAAGGGAAGGAAAAAATAAAGGGAGGGGATGGAGGAAGGAAGGAAGGACTGAAGGAAGGGAGGGAAGAGGGAAAGAAGGAAGGAATGATTGAAAGACGAGGAGGAAGGGAAGGAAAAAATAAAGGGAGGGGATGGAGAAGGAAGGAAGGACTGAAGGAAGGGAGGGAAGGGGGAAAGAAGGAAGGAATGATTGAAAGACGAGGAGGAAGGGAAGGAGAAAATGAAGGGAGGGGATAGAGGAAGGAATGGAGGTAAGGAAGAAAAGGGAGGGAGGGAGGGAGGGAATGGAGAAAGGAAGAAAATGAATGAAGGAAGGAAGAAAGGAAGGAAAGAAAGGGAGGGAGGGAGAGTGAAAGGAAGGAAAGGAAAGAAGGGGAGGGAGGGAGAGTGAAAGGAAGGAAAGGAAAGAGGGAGGGAGGAGGGAGGGAGGGAAGGAAGAAAAGAATGAAGGGAGGGGATGGAGGAAGGAAGAAAAGGGAGGGGGGAATGGATGGAGGAAGGAATGAAGGAAAGGGAGGGAAGGAAGTGAGGAAGGAAGAAAAGGGAGGGAGGGAATAGATGAAGGAAGGGAGGGGGATCTGCTGAATGATCAGACAAAGGGTATTAACTTGAATTTCACTAAACAGGTGCAAAGTACAATTAACATTGCAAACAGGGTCAAAATGGCAAAAGAGTGCGCATGTGATTTTGAAGCTCACATGGGGTCATTAGAACAATGTGTTTCTATTGGATCTGTAGGCACAGATACTAGAGAGCGACCACTATTTTTTAGTAAACACTATACCACATTATCAGCTACTTGTGCTTTGCCTCTGCAACAGCATCTCTCACGGTAAAGTCCAGGGTAGGTCTGGATTCAAAGGGCGAACAGGCACCACAAGTGATGTGTGCTGGAAAAGTTCCAGTGCTGGTACCACAGGCAGATGGCTGGAGACCCCGTCCACCCCACTTAATTTGCAGTGCCATGGTGGAAATTGAAGCTTTTATCCCTGCAGTAGGTTGGTCTTCCGTAAAAAGTGCAGCGCTATGTATATACAATTATATGTGTAAACATATTCCAAAAGTTATAAACATGCATGAACAAATATGAACAAATAATATTGAGCAATCATGAATAAAAAGTCCCAAGTGTCGTGTCTTTAAGTGTAGTAAAATAATCCTTAAAACTGCAACTGTATTTCGCAAACAGTCATGAGGTGAAATGATATCTGTGGGGTAAAAAACCTCTGTGACAATCCTCCACAAATATGCACTCACCAGAAATAAAACAGACCAGGCTGTGAACAGAACCGTGCGGCTCCTTCGCTATAGGGATGACATAACGGTCTTTCACAGATTGATCCTAAAAGGAGAGCTCACAAACCAGATCCCAGAAACGGTGGCACATAGTGCAGTAATTTACTGTTAAAAGAAACAAACACATCCATGTGGAAAGATAAGAAACGGCCGCACTTACAAATATGAATGCCGGACCATAACCATGGACTCGGCGGCATGAAGTCAGCACGTAGGCTCCTCCTGGACGTGTTTCGTGCACGTTCTCAAAGGGACCCGTCTCCCTCCGTAGAAGCTGCATGCTCTTGGGCTTCTACCTAGCTGCCTTTACACCAGGACTAACAGTGGAGTATCCCACACCTAGCTGCAGGTCACATGTCCAGCCACCTCTGCCTCATCAAGTGTGTTTTTTTCTGAGCTACAGAGGGTGGGAAACAGGAAAATTATATTCCCTGGGTGTGCCTAGGAGCCCAGGGGCCTGTGGGAACCCAAGAAACTATGGAAAAAGGAGTTAAAAAGACCACACCTGCATCTGAGCACAATGAGTCAATGAGCATTCTGCTGCAGTAAACCAATACAGTGAGAGCACCAACAGCGGGTAGTTGACAGAGCCTCCAACACCTCTATCCTCCCAGGCACAGAACACCCAGGTGTCTGCCAGCATTACCAATTCGCCGTCTTGCCCCTTCTCCTCTTTGAGGCTGTCTGTGAAAATTATAATGTTTCATAACACCACATACAGCTTTATCACACCCCCAAACCTGTAATTTATAGGATTTGTGTATCTTCAATGTAACCCTCAAAGCCACATACAAAGGCATTCTTCCTGCTGTATATTAAGTTTTTTTTTTTCACATTGCCAATGGTATGTATCCCTGTGAGTTCATGGCTTCCTATTCCTCTAATCTGACAATAGTTTGTGGACTAGCCCCACAAAATGAACTGAATTGAATATCAAAAATCACTTCTCCCTCAAACCTTCATAGACTTAAGGGGGTTCAGGGAAAGGTTCTATTTATTTATTTATTTTTTTTACATTTTTAGGCCAAGTTGTAAATCAAACCCGGGCAGATTTGCTCATCCCTAGTCATCAGTGCTATGCTAATGTTTAAGTAGACCATCTGCTCTGGTCTTATCAAGGTTTTGCCTTCTAAGAAAGATGGTAGTAATGGTTCATGGAGAGCAGGCGTGAATTCTGTCTGCTATATTAAGCACATTTTCTGAATATTTCTAGCTTTTGGTTAAAGTAACCTGTTTGCACTGGACTGTTATATTAACCTTGTTCTGTGTTCTGTTACTTGGTCTTAAGATATGCCAGAAATGGCTTCAAGGTTTTCAGAGGCCCTAAAACAGCGTCTCGAAGCAGTGCAGGCTGTGCTCTGGGATCCAGATCTAGGAGTCTGGTTGGACTACAATACAGAACATCAGGAAAGGAATCCAAACTTTTATCCCAGCAACTTGTCTCCACTCTGGGCTTCATGTTATGAAAACACAGAAATTGTGGACAAAGTGGTTTCCTATTTGGAGGTATGTTGCATGTTTTTATTATGATTTGTTATGCACTGTAAAAATAACATTCTGTACTTGTTATAGACACCCCCAAACGTAAATTATTTACTCGACTTACAATCTCACAGTAAGTCACTGGTCAAAGCGGTGTAATTTAAAATTGTGCAAATTGCATGCAATTTCAGCGCGATTTCTGAAGACTTTATTGCTACTTGTGAAGATTTTCAACGATTTCTTGCAATTTGCACTGCGATTTCCATTATATTCTATGTATGTGATATCACAACAAAACTGCAGAATAAATAATGCAAGAACTACTTTAGAAATCGCACTGCAGAAAATTGCAGATGTTAAGACACTGACATTCACATTCATTAGATGCGATTTCGGGTGCAATTTAAATTCCCAAATCACTGCTGAAATCGCACCAGTGCACTTAATGGGGTATGGGCAGTTAAATAGAACTACAGGATTGTATTTTCAGTCCTCCTTACTGTAAAAAAAAAAAAGAAAAATTAGTACCAATCCTACCCACTCAACACTGTAGTGTTGTTCCCGACTATAGTGTTGTTCCCGACTTCCTGCTTGGTCCAGCACTGGCAGTCCTTTTGGGCAATTCTACCCATTTCCTGTGAGCCCAACCTGACATTTACATTCCCCCCCCCCTCCCCCAGGGGATAAATGTTCACGAAGGCTGGGCTCACAGCACTCCAGGACTAAGTGGAGCTCTCACATCATTGTGTGAACAATGCTTAGTGCTGGAAGAATGCAGGTCCCCAGACACCGCTGCCAGAAGAAGAAGAAGTTGCAATATGTAGGTGGACTAGATTAATTTATTTCAGGTACTTATATAGCCCCATCCATTTACGCAGTGCTTTACATATACATTGTACATTCACATCAGTCCCTAACCCTCAAGGGGCGTATAATCTAAGGTCCCTAACTTACATTCATACATACACATACTAGGGACAATTTAGACAGGAGCCAATTAACCTATCAGCATGTCTTTGGAGTGGTGGAGGAAACCAGAGTAACTGGAGGAAACCCACACAGGCACAGGGAGAACATGCAAATTCCAGGCAGGTGGTGCTGTGGTTGGGAATCGAACCAATGACCCTAGTACTGCCAGGCGGAAGTGCTAACCATTTAGCCACTGTGCTGCCCATACTAGATAGAAGACTGCAGGAAAAAGTTATGTTTAGGGTTAATTTTAATGAAAAAAGAATACCTGGGAGGGAATAAGTGGTGGGGAGAGGTGGGTGAATGTCAAAATTTTGGAATTACACTTTAATAAGAGGACATGCACAGATACTTGAGAGTTAGATGTTTACTTAAAAAAAGCACAGAAAGAAAATCGTCATTCTTTTTTAATCAAGAAATAATTACCAATATCACTTCCCATAGTCCTATGTGTTCCTAGCTGAACAATGCTTGTCCCAGGGTAGGCAGTAAGGACTGAATCTATGTCTCTGCATAGTTGCATAGCTTAATTTGAAACACTACATTTCTCAGAACCCCCCAATCATATCCACTGTCAGACAAAGTCAACGACCACCAGGATACTTAACAACCTTTGAACTTCAGAATGAGGGACACTTGAGGGAGGAAGTGATATGCGGCATGCGTAGACCGTCATGGAAAAATAGGTGTGGCCAAATGCTTAACAGTGGGAGGGGCTTGACCTCACAAATGTGCTTCTGGAAGAATGGACAAACATTCCCATAGACACACTCCTAAACCTTGTGAACAGCCTTCCCAGAAGAGTTGAAGCTGTTATAGCTGCAAATGGTGGGCCAACTTAATATTGAACCCTACAGACTAAGACTGGGATGCCATTAAAGTTCATGTGTGTGTAAAGGCAAGCGTCCCAATATTTTTGGCAATATAGTATAGATGCATAAATCAATAAAATGCAGCGCAATACTATTTTAGTGACAATAATATGTTCTACAAAACCAAATATATATAGACACATACATATGAATACCCATAAAACTGCATATATCAATGCAAAATGAATAGTGTACACAGATATTAAATTAAATAGTAGACTGTGCCTTTTACACTTCAATATCTTCACATGTGCTTGTGCAGTATATCTCCTGTGCATCGTATACCAAATATACCATCAATAAGTGTCCAAAAATTATGGTTTCAAAATAATGGTGAACCGTCCCTTTAAATCTGCTGTACACCAGGTGAGGCTGTGTGATCATGCTACTGTATACACATGTATGGTGCTCCTGTGTCACCCCTTAGTGCCCATCCACATCTGACACATTATTGCATTCACCTTCAAGTTTGACCCGAAATACCAGGTCAAACTACGCTTTTCCCTTTAACCCAGGAGGGTATATTGGTACCAAGATCTTCACCACCGTCAGCACTTAAAATCTCCAGAACGCTCTACAAACGTATTAAAAAAAATGCTCCATATAGTGAAGTATTGCCAAATAAAACCAACTTTATTAAAATAATCCAATAAACTCACATTTAAAAGTGTCCATCTGGGACACCTCAGGGTAAAAACTCACTATATTGTGTAACTGTAGAATAAAGTGCAGGATTCCCTTATCCAAAATGGCGGCATGCGCACTTTTGGTTTGCGGCTTGACATCATCGGTGTACCCTGATGGAGATTTTAAGTGCTGACGGTGGTGAAGATCTTGGTACCAATATACCCTCCCGGGTTAAAGGGAAAAGAGTAGTTTGACCTGGTATTTCGGGTCAAACTTGAAGGTGAGCGCAATAGTGTGTCAGAGGTGGATGAGCACTAAGGGGTGACACAGGAGCACCGTACATGTGTATACAGTAGCATGGTCACAGAGACTCACCTGGAGTACAGCAGATTTAAAGGGACGGTTCACCATTATTTTGAAATCATAATTTTGGGACACTTATTGATGGTATATTTGGTATACGATGCACAGGAGATATACCGCACAAGCACATGTAAAGATATTGGAGTGTTAAAGGGACAGTTCACTATTTAGAACAGTTCATTTGATATTTGTGTACACTATACATTTTGCACTGATATATGCGGTTTTATGGGTATTCATATGTATGTGTTGATATATACTTGATGTAGCACATATATTGTCACAAGCACAATTTTTGTTTTCACTATTCGTTTATGCATGTTGGATATTAGTAGCACCGTATTTGAGTTTATAGTATTGTGCTGAATTTTTTTGATTTATGGTTTACATGTGGGAACACATTACATGCTAGCTGCAATATTTGTCTCATAGGAGGTCCATTGCGCTGAGGGTTTTTGCATACTATTTTGCATACACATAGTGTAGATGCAATACATTAAACACTTTGGATTTACGCAATCTTTACAATGCAGATAAAAATTTTCTGTTTTTTTGTTTCAGAACAGTGAAGCATTGAATTACAGAAATGGCCTTCCAACTTCTTTCAAGAACTCTGGACAGCAGTGGGATTTCCCTAATAGCTGGCCACCTTTACAGCACATGGTAATTGAAGGTGAGAGTTAAATATAAAATATAACGCTTGCTCTACTGCTGAACTGTTTGAATTACTTTTCCTCTTATATTAAAAGATAGCATGAAATGTTTATGCTCTAGAGATTTTTCATGTGCATTCCATTGAACGGCACTGTTGTCCCAGTCATGGAATTGATGTAAGACAGTTGCTTTTTTCCCACCTAAAAAAAAAATATAAAATTCTTAGAAGAGCCTGTCATTTCTTTCAGAGTACATCAAATACAGTTGCAAGAAAAAGTATGTGAACCCCTTGGGATTACGTGGAGTTTTGCATGAATTGGGCAAAAAAAATGTGCTCTGAACGTCATCTAAGTCACAACAATAGAAGAACACAGTCTGCTGAACATAATACTACACAAACATTAGATGTTGCCATGGTTTAATTGCACATAACATGTAAACATTTACAATGCAGGGAGGAAAAAGTATGTGAACCTTTGGACTTAATAACTGGTTGACCCTCCTTTGGCAGCAATAACCTCAACCAAAGATTTCCTGTAGTTGCAGATCAGACCTGCCCAACGATCTGGAGTAATTTTGGACCACTCCTCTTCACAAAACTGTTTCAGTGTAGCAATATACTTGGGATGTCTGGTATGAATCGCTCTCTTAAGGTCATGCCACAGCATTTCAATTGGATTGATGTCAGGACTCTGACTGGGCCACTCCAGAAGGCGTATTCTGTGCTGTTGCAGCCATTGTTTTGTTGAATTACTTGTATGCTTTGGGTCATTGTCCTGTTGCATCACCCATCCTCTGCGGAGCTTCAGTTTGCGGACAGATGGTCGTACGTTTTCCTGCAAAATGTCTTGATAAACTCTGGAATTCATTTTCCCATCATTTTCCCATCAATCCGTCCAGGCCCTGAGGCAGCAAAGCAGCCCCAAACCATGATGCTCCCTCCGCCATGTTTTACAGTGGAGATGAGGTTTTGATGTTGGTGTGCTGTGCCTTTTTTTCTCCACACATAGTGTTGTGTGTTCTTCCCAAACAACTCAATCTTGGTTTTGCTTTTGCAAACTTCAAACGTGCTGCAATATTCTTTTTGGACAGCAATGGCTTCCTACGTGGTGTCCTCCCATGTACTCCATTCTTGTTTAATGTTTTCCTTATTGTAGATGTGTCAACACAAATGTTAGCATGTGCCAGAGATTTCTGTAGGTCTTTAGCTGACACTCTGGGATTCTTCTTTACCTCATGCAGCATTCTGCGCTGTGCTCTTGCAGTCATTTTTACAGGACGACCACGCCTAGGGAGAGTAGCAACAGTGCTAAACTTTCTCCATTTGTAGACAGTCTGTTTTACCGTGGACACATGAACATCAAGGCTTTTGGCGATACTTTTGTAACCCTTTCCAGCTTTATGCAAGTGAACAATTCTTGATCGTAGGTCTTCTGAGAGCTCTTTTCTGCGAGGCATGGTTCACATCAGACAGTGCTTCTTGAAACCAATAAACCCAAAACAGGTACGTGTTTTTTAAGGGCAGGACAGCATTTAGCAACACATCCAATATCATCACACTGATTGGAGTCAAGGTTGGCTCACTCCTGGCTCCAATTAGCTCTGGGAGAAGTCATTAAGCTAGGGCCTCACATACTTTTTCCTCCCTGCACTGTGAATGTTTACATGTTATGTGCAATTAAACCATGGCAACATCTAATATTTGTGTAGTATTATGTTCAGCAGACTGTATTCTTCTATTGTTGTGACTTAGATGACATTCAGAGCAAATTTTATGCCCAATTCATGCAAAACTCCACGTAATCCCAAGGGGTTCACATACTTTTTCTTGCAACTGTATATAAGGGCAACTTTTCTTCCCGTCATGAAGTGGATCAAAGGCAGATCCAGACACTGACCAAAAATGGAGGAAGAGGGTGGAATTGCAAATGTCATAGGTCAGCAACATTATTTTTGAGGCATGGTCTTAGTTGATGATGGCAGTCTGACAACAGCCACACCCAATCTGTTGTGCCTGATGCACTGTCCTATGTAGTGCACAAACTAGCAAATATGCACATTGGCTTATACAGAGCCACTGTGAAGTTTTCCCTCACCTCTTGATTCTGTGACGGACAACACAAAACGTTTGAATTTGCCATATTTTCCTGTACCGGAGACATTGATCACGAGGACCAATAGTGAAGATAAATCTCTCCTGCAGGGCCACAGACAGCACTTAAAACACTTGAGTAGTAACTGGGTGTGAACGAAGGAAAGCACTAAAAGCACATGGTATAAAGTCCTGATTCTATTTTCTACATCATGGAAATCCAATGTATTTTGGGGGTTAAAAGGGCCCCCTTCATCTGGGTTTGGTAATATTGAACAAAGTACACACTGGGCTAATACAATTGGAGGGTACCAGAGGGGTAATAAGTATGATCACTCCAAATGCTTAACTGGCATATGAAGCAAACCTAATAATTACCCCACAGAATCCCTCCAATTCTATCAGTTCAGTGACCTTTGGCTACCAATTCTGGGAGCTCTGCCAAATGATACTCATTCCCTTTACACTGCTTAAGACCTGACTGAGAACTCCCACTGCTTTAAGAAAGCCAGCACCAGGTTTTAACATTTCCACATTATTTATTGGCTTTACATACTGCCCACTTTACATGGAAAACTGTGGTAATTGCAATGATAACACTGTCATGGATACTTATTGTATATTTTTAGTTTTAGATATTGTGCCGTCAGACCCAGACATGCACAGTGTCTACACCCTATACCCTCCACCCCTCCTCAGTCCTACCCCCAGATTTCAGCTTATTTGTCCATATGGAAGGAAGGGCAATTTGAAAAATGTAATAAAGAAAAAATCTCCCCCACCCAGTGCCACCCCCCTCCCAACAGCCTTCCGAACATGGCACTGACCCATAGAAACTAAAGCAGAAAATACAACCATGGCGGCAGAACATTGACAGTAGAACACAGCCAGCCCTCTGAAGCTCAGTTGGCCAGCAATGGATTTTCAGGTTCAGCAATCAATGTTCAAATACAGCAGTGCTTTACTCGTCCTTTCTCTGCAGCAAACGTAAAGTATTATTGTTTCTGATAGGCCTGGCAAAGACGCAGTCTGCCAAAGCACAGGAAATCGCCTTCAAACTAGCCCAAAAGTGGGTCACAGCCAATTATAAAGCCTTCAAGGAGTACAATGCAATGTTTGAAAAGGTAAGCCTGTACTTTGAGAAAACTGGATTCTCTGAAAATGTTTATACATAATTTGGGTAAAAAGAACAGGATGGGTTTCTAAAGCTGTTCATACGTATGATCTGCATGTACAATTCTTGTTAGATTTGTAAACTGATATAAAGTGCAGGAGTGGAATTATATAATGCATCTAATTAGGATTCTAGCAGGCTCCTGCATAACATAGTGATGGTACTTTTAATGGTAGGCAAAAATATCATAATTTCTGATCGGTTTCCTAAAGATCCCTTGTGCATGACCATCCAGCCATTGAATGAATAAATGTTTAATGTAGCACACATAAAGCCATAAAACATGTAATAGACACTTAACTACGTGAAGCCCTGGATAGGCAGTTAACATTAGGATGGCAGCATTGTCTGATGTGATGTACAATATATCTTATGTTAACTTGTTGTATGGCCATGTTTGGGAGATATTGTTAGACACCAACACTTAACCCTCATTGGTCAAAGTGACAGTGTCCCAAGTATCTTATGTGAAGTCAAATGTTCATATATGTAGTAAAAGTTTTAGAAAGTTGTCCTTATGGTGATATTGTTTTTTTTTTATTTATTCTTATCACTATGTTGGTGATGATTGCAAAATGTTGATCAGTTTGAAAACATGCATACCATCCATCCATAATAAACAACCGATACAAACCTGTTACAGCTTGCCAATGCTCACCGGTCAAAGTCTGTCAAAAGTTTGCCGTCATCTTTCATAATGCTCTTTTGTAGAGCCAGTTATTCTTTAAATTGATTCTTTTATAGCTGATCAATCAAACTAAAAAATTGTCCTCCATAAGAGAGACTGTATGATCAGATTGGTAAACGTCTGGCCAGCTATAGAAAGCATATTCTTAGTATAGGTTTTTATATATATTAAATAGTTTACGTTTGAGTTTGTTGAACTAGCCCCTTCAGAATGCCCTGTTTTCCCTGTTAGATGTTCGTCTAGTCCACGGTGGGGCTAACTTTTTGACTTGAGGGCCGCAATGGGTTCATATATTGGACCCGGGGCCGGACCAAGAGTAGATGAATGATGTGTATGTGTCATCCATAGTAAGTATAGTAATATTCCCCCATAGTAAGCATAGTAATTAATCCCCCATATAGTAATTCATCCCCCATAGTAATTCATCCCCCATAGTAATTAATCCCCAATATAGTAATTCAGTAATTCATCCCCCATATAGTAATTCATCCCCCATATAGTAATTCACTCCCCATTATAGTAATTTATCCCCCATAGTAATTTATCCCCCATCCCCCATATAGTAATTCATCCCCCATAGTAATTCATCCCCCATAGTAATTATCCCCCATATAGTAATTCATCCCCCATAGTAATTCATCCCCCATAGTAATTCATCCCCCCATAGTAATTCATCCCCCCTATAGTAATTCATCCCCCCTATAGTAATTCATTCCCCATATTAATTCATCCCCCATATTAATTCATCCCTCATATAACTATTCCCCCCAAGTAGTAAGCCAAGTCCCCCCTGTGTCAATTCACTTACCTTTGCTCCGCGCGTTCCTCTCGCCGTGTTCCCGTGCCGTTCTGGTCTTCAGGGCGGACTGTGAGAGGAGCCTAGCTCCCCTCACGTTCGTCACGCTGCCCCGCCTACACACATCCTGACAGCCATCCTGACAGTATCACGCTCCACGGTTCCGGATTAAAAGGTCCGCCGGGCCGTATACGGCCCGCGGCCGTAGTTTGCCCATTGCTGGTCTAGTCTTTTTATTTACTTAATTTACTTAGTGAATCATTCTTTGAGGATAGACATATTTTTTTGAAAGCTAACATACACTTTGATAAAATTTTGTATTGGATACTTACTGGTTTTGAGCACCAGAACAGTTTATTCATTTATGGCTGAAGTTATGTTGTAAATGTATTTTCTATGGTTGCGGGTTTGACTTGTCTGAAGACATTATGCTAGTCCTGGTGACTGTGGTTTAAGAAAATGGGATATTTCTGTTAAGTGACTATCTGTAATCCAATTATTCTTACCCGTCCCCAGCTTTCTTTACTTCCAGTCCCTTCTATTGCTTTTACCAGAACCCCTTGACATTTGCCTTGTTCCTCAGACTGGACTTTCTGCTCTCTGTTGTATGTTACTCTTAATTCTGTCTCTTTCTACTGAACCTCATGTTCTAGTCCATTTGGCTTTTCTATTTCAGATCACATCCTTACTTGCCCAGATATAAGCAGCTGAATATGAATATTCTAATTAATCATTATAGCAAATGTAAGATGGACTAGACACTTTATAACATGCATTGTTTCTGACTCATTAAATACAGTTTATAAGGTATGCAAGTGGAAATCTGCGGAAATGTCTTTAGTACTGGATTGAATTCTAGAAACACAGACTATATACAGTATGCTCAAGAAGCAGAAATCATCTCTCACATAAGCAGATATACTGTAATCACAATTCTTCCCCTGAAGAGTAATGCAAAAATCCAATCTAAATGTATTCAGCAATGTATGGCAAGTGATTGTATATTTAGCATTTGTTTTATTTTTCAACAGTATGATGCTGAAGGTGATGGTAAACCAGGTGGAGGAGGGGAATATGAAGTACAGGTAAGACCCTCATATCTGAAACTACAAACACTTTAAATATAACCAGTATTCTCTGATTTGCATGTTTTGTTCAGTTAGTTGATTTGTATGAGTTTTTGTTATACCTTTAAAGTCTAGTGACCATCTCTAATATTTAGGTTTGCAGTACAGGTCACAGGGTTAAAATTTACCAGATTAGGAACTAGGGGTTATGTTCTGGATTTTCTTCCTTTCAAGAGAATAAGGAATCTGCATACCAGTACGACACTATTTATTGCAAAGCTGTCACCCTCTAGCTATATCACTGCTATGTGCTTACTACAGAACCAAAACACCAATCCAGCAGTGTCAATTCTGTGCAGCCAGTCTTGTGATTTCCATCTGAAACTGTGCACACACACAGGTCACACATTTCCTGTTTCAGCAATACAGCTTTCTATGTTACCTATCTCTGGGATCTTTTATTGGACAATGGAAGCAGTTCAGGAATAGTAAAACTGAACCAAAAAGTAGCAGATGAATCTTCTGACTGTGCATAGTGGACACAGTGTGTAACGCAGAAAATGGCAGAGCAAAATTAGAGGAAAAAAAAAAATATATATATATACACTATATTGCCAAAAGTATTGGGGTACCCCTCCAATTCATTGGATTCAGGTGTTTCATCACCTCCATAGCCATAAAATAAAATCTAGCACCTAGGCATGCAGACTGCTTCTACAAACATTTTGAAAGAATGGGTCGCTCTCAGGAGCTCAGTGAATTCAAGCGTGGTACCATGATAGGTTGCCACCTATGCAATAAGTCCATCCATGAAATTTCCTTGCTACTAAATATTCCACGGTCAGCTGTTAGTGGTATTATAACAAAGTGGAAGCAACTGGGAACAGCAGCAACTCAGTCACAAAGTGGTAGACCACATAAAATGACAGAGCAGGGTCAGTGCATGCTGAAGCACACAGTGCACATAAGTCGCCAACTTTCTGCAGATACAATAGCTAAAGACCTCCAAACTTCATGTGGCCTTCAGTTTAGCACAACAACAGTACGTAGAGAGCTTCATGGGATGGGTTTCCATGGCCGAGCAGCTGCATCCAAGCCTTACATCACCAATTGCAATGCAAAGAGTCGGATGCAGTGGTGTAAAGCATGCCGCCACTGGACTCTAGAGCAGTGGAGATGTGTTCTCTGGAATGACACAAAACACGTTTCTCTGTCTGGCAAGCAGGCGAATGTGTCTGGGTTTTGCAGTTGCCAGGAGAACAGTACTTGCCTGACTACATTGTGCCAAATGTAATGTTTGGTGGAGGGGGGATTATGGTTTGGGGTTGTTTTTCAGGGGTTAGGCTTGGCCCCTTAGTTACAGTAAAGGGAACTTTTGAGGCATCAGCATACCAAGAACTTTTGGACAATTTCATGCTGGGGATGGCCCTTCCTGTTCCAACATAACTGCACACCAGTGTACAAAGCAAGGTCCATAAAGACATGGAAGAACAAGTCTAGGGAGGAGGAACTTGACATCAACCTGATTGAACACCTTTGGAATGAATTAGAATGGAGACTGAGAGCCAGGCCTTCTCGTCCAACATCAGTGCCTGACCTCACAAATGCGCTTCTGGAAGAATGGTCAAACATTCCCATAGACACACTCCTAAACCTTGTGGAGAGCATTCCCAGAAGAGTTGAAGCTGTTATAGCTGCACAGGGTTGGCCAACTCAATATTGAAACCTACGGACTAAGACTGGGATGCCATTAAAGCGATTCTAAAGGTTAATTTTTTTTTTTAAATAACAAACATGTTATATTTACCTGCTGTGTGCGGTGGTTTTGCACAGAGCAGCCTGGATCCTCCTCTTCACGGGTCCCCTGCAGGCTCTCCTGGCCCCTCCTTCCTGTCAGATGCCCCCACAGCAAGCAGCTTGCTATGGGGGCACCTGCTGCTCTGTGTGTCCATTCACACACGGAGCTGTGGGTTGGCCCCGCCCCCTCTCTTTCCCCATTGACTGACTGGCTGTGACTGACAGCAGTGGGAGCCAACGGCTCCGGATTGTTGTCTCAGCCATTGAGGAGGCAGAGACTCGGGACAGCTGGATTGCGATGGGGCTCAGGTAAGTATTGAAGGGTGGGGGCACTGTTACATACAGAAGGTTTGAGCCTTTACAACCACATTAAAGTTCATGTGTGTGTAAAGGCAGGCGTCCGAATACTTTTGGCAATATAGTGTATATACTGTATATTAAAACTGTTTATTTAGGTATTTATCTGGAGTTCTAAATGTCCATCATGTTGAACAAACAAGTAGCAATGGATATTTGTCAGCAAAGGAGAAAATGCACATTTTTAGGAACGAAATGCCCATTAACACTGAGAACAGGAGAAGGAGGTGAGGAATTGAATCACTAGACAGTCTCCCCCACCTATTTCCTGGATATTTTATGTAAATATACAAGGAATAACTTCACCGATAATAGGGGTATGCTGGAGTGCAGGATCTTTACAGTAAATAACACAAAAAACAGCGCAAAAATTAAATACATAAAAATAATCACAAATAAATAAATGTCCGTGCAAAAATATATATATAATATTTCAAACATAAGTCCTTATTTTCCCAAAAGGATTTTCAAAACAATGTTCCAAAATGTGCTTCCACCTAATCACCACGTGAAAAATAATACTGACCGCACTCACCAGATGGAGGTGAGTAATAAGCCTCATAGGATATAAGGGATCCTATAGCCCCTCAGGAGGAACTCAAATCGCCTTCACCATGCTTAGATACAGCAATCGACTCCACTCTACTTCTCCATGGAATCCTCAATAGTGCGCAAGGAAAGAAAGGCTACATAGTGTAATACTGCTATTCAATACCATATAAATCGATAGAATAAGGACACTCACATGTTTCAATAAAATAACAGGCCTTGTTTAATAGCCTCAAAGGCGTCAAAGGAACAAGTTTCCAAATTGTAAATATAGGGATCTCACGCTTTAAGGATCACTGTAGAGGATGACCAGCTTTCCACCTCAAAAATGGCTGCTTGAACCGCAAAAGTCGGCGTGCGTTCCAAATACCGGAAGTGACATAGGCCAAGAAGGCGGCAGACCAGAAGTGCATCAATGCATTTCGCCCCACCCACAGGGCGTTTTCAAGACACCACCCTCAGTATGCCGCCTTTTTGGCCTACGTCACTTCCGGTATTTGGAATGCACGCCGACTTTTGCGGTTCAAGCAGCCATTTTTAAGGTGGAAAGCTAGTCATCCTCTACAGTGATCCTTAAAGCGTGAGATCCCTATATTTACAATTTGGAAACTTGTTCCTTTGAAGCCTTTGAGGCTATTAAACAAGGCCTGTTATTTTATTGAAACATGTGAGTGTCCTTATTCTATCGATTTATATGGTATTGAGTGGCAGTATTACACTATGTAGCCTTTCTTTCCTTGCACATTATTGAGGATTCCATGGAGAAGTAGAGTGGAGTTGATTGCTGTATCTAAGCAGGGTGAAGGCGATTTGAGTTCCTCCTGAGGGGCTATAGGATCCCTTATATCCTATGAGGCTTATTACTCACCTCCATCTGGTGAGTGCGGTCAGTATTATTTTTCACGTGGTGATTAGGTGGAAGCACGTTTTGGAACATTATTTTGAAAATCCTTTTGGGAAAATAAGGACTTATGTTTGAAATATTATATATATATATTTTTGCACGGACATTTATTTATTTGTGATTATTTTTATGTATTTAATTTTTGCGCTGTTTTTTGTGTTATTTATTATTGGTGGTTTTCACTGGTGCACAGCTGCATAATTGTATACTTTCTTTGATTGGCGCTGGGATTTTTTTAGTTTGTTTAGGATCTTTACAGTGCCCAGAGTGGTGATTGCTAATAATTCGACAGGAGACTTAAGCTGGCCATAAATGATATTTTTTTTTTCTTTCAACCAGCAGGCTGAACAGAAAAACCTGGACCAATTCCCTCATCCACACATTTGAGGTAGATGAGGGAATCCTACCTGCTGTGCTATTGTATTCTGACAGAGGAAAGACCTCCCCACCATCAGAATACAGTGATCAGTATTGCTGGCTATAAACGGCCGCACTGATCATTCTGGAAAATCTCAACAGGCTGGTTATACACAAGTCGATCGATAGATTGACTTATGAACAACCAGTCTGCCCATTTGGCTGGTCCCTGCTGAACCGGCTGAATTTTAATCCATGTATGGCCAGCTTAAGAAAATTACCAAAGACAAAGTGACACTAAACCACTAAACTTTGGTTTAAATAAAAATATATTCTATTTGAGTATGTATTCTTATCTCAGAAAAGGACCACCTGTTAGAGGGTGGATACACTCGTTCTCAATGGTTCCGCTGTAAGTGGAAACATAGCTGCCCTCTTTTGTTTGCTCCTGAGGTGGGCAGGGGACTTTTATGGACTATCAATTGTGGGATTTGTAGAGCAATGCATGTGACAACTAATGTGCACTGCTTGGATAGAATGATACCCCAGTCGTCTGCTGGATGTGAGCATGTGCCAGTGACTTATTACAAGGTTAAAAATGGAAGCTTTTAAAACAGCTCAGGTATCCATTAGTATAGTAATTGCACCATGCCTGAAGAAGGGAGGTCATCCGTCTTGAAATCTGTTACTGTAAATTCTACATTTCTTCTTCTAGTAATGGCAAGGAGTCCAATACCATCCACTTCAATAAAATTACATACATGCAAATTTAAAAGTGTAGCTAATTTTTGTCTAAATATTGCTTTTAAAAATTATACTTTGCACTGCATTAGTGTGTAACTCAGATTTTTTTTTTTACCATGCTGTTTTATCTCCTTTTTCAGCTGGGCTTTGGATGGACCAATGGAGTAATCCTTCAACTGTTGGACCGCTACAAATCCTATCTGACTTGTTCAGCCATCGTTACATCATTATCATTTCCTGTGTTACTGTTTCCGATATTAATCCTTACTATATGGACATAAATCTTAAATTGCTACTTTCCCCAGATACTTTTCTAGTTAATCCTGTATTAATCTCTGACATGATTTTATCATTTTGCATATGTCTTAAAATATTCATGTACGTGAACAAAGTAGCTGCTTAATGGAATTTGGATCCATGTCTTCCGTTGCAATAGAAATTCATGCATCTTTAGCATACTATTTTCATATGTTGTGCTGTATTTTTGATACATTTTACATGCTTTTATCATTTCAGTGGACAGTGTGTAGTATGCATGTCCATTAATTAAAAAACACGTAGGGCATTTTTCACGGGTTACCACCCATTGCTAGCACAGAAAGTGTGTTTTACGTGAACTGTAAAAATATGCATTGATGAGAACTGTACCCATGAAAGTAATGCACTTTAGGTGTAGTTTAAAGTGCAATAATTCAAATATGAATAATCCAATAAAAATCATTGCTCATATACATATATAAAATTCTTAATGTGATATATTTTGCTGTATGGGATATAGGAGTCATACATTTTCCAACTCTTCTCTCCACATAAATAGTTACCCAGTTAACTTTTTACCATCATTGTTGATCATTCATTACTATTGTGTTCCTGGCGTTCTTCCCTGAAGCCTCCAACTCAACCCAAATGTACTACTTGTAACATTACGTTCCTGAAAGTCAATCTCACCTCTAGTTTATAAATGAAAAGGCCTGAGTATGTCCCTAAATACATACTGTACTGAGGCATAAACATGTATGTTTGGCTTCAGTATGACTATTGGAAGCAAGTACTGAAAACTAATCAAAAGGCAAGGGCCAGATCATCTTGCATACATCCAGAGCTGGATATGTACAGCATTTAAACTGAAGTCTTTTGCTGGAAGCTGCTGATTGGTGTCTTCAAGTATCTGCTGCATGACTTCAGTATTATTGGACTAACTGACAACCTAACAAAGGTGCTCAGGGATGTAACACCTCTTCACAGCAAAAGTATTTTAAAAAAGTAAGCCGCAGTTCAGAAATTAGTTCTTCTTTCTGTGATTAAGAATTGCCAAAAAATGACTGCGTACATTGATGTCTCCACCCAAAACCAACCTTCCTTGACGTGTTTCACTACTGCTGGCTTGCTCAGTCCTCTTCACAGCAAACCTAATACAACTGAATACTAAAGCTGATCATGGCGCAACCAACAGCTTTTAACCAGTTTCTGCCTGGCTAATAGCAAAATGACGGCCGAGTGGGACTTTCATTGATAGGGGTGGGGGCGTCATATGACGTCCTACCAGAAGCGTGCCTCACCCGTGGGGCTGTGGTGGCAAGATGTCACCGGCTGTGACCCTCGGACACAGCAAATGACAGCTCTGTGTACCAGCCCGTTGCCAGTACCATGTGAATGCTGTGACCAATCACAGCAGGTCACGACAATTGTAAACAATGGATGGCTTCCTTTCATGCCATCCAGTGTATAAAATTTTGTGACCTGCTGTGATTGGTCGCAGTAATCACATGGTACATACTGGGCCAATCACAGCCCATCTGTGTCGTGATTAGTTATGGCCAATCACAACAAAAAAAAAAACCTGACTAAATTGATTTCCTTGTTAATTGCTTGCTTATAGCAATGAAATTCTTTGCTATGAGCAATCATGTGTGTAAAAATAAATAATAAGCGTTTTCCCAGAGTAGTACGTTACTATGGTAATATACTACACTGGCCACAGTGTGCCATGAAAAAGAAAAAAAGATGTAATAAACAAAATGTTTTAAAAAATTGTTCGTGTTTTCATACTGTCACCAGTCAGTGGCCCTGATCAGCGCCACACCAGTTATATGCTGACGCTTTACTGCACTGGTGACAGCATGCACAAAAAAAAAAAAAAAGTGTTTTTTTTTCTGAATTTCTTCACTTCCCAAAAAAATAACAAAAAAATGACAACTTCAAAAAAAAAAAAAAAAAAAACTCATCATGTCTCCTATTAAATACCTCAGACTGTCTACTTTGCAAAAAGGGGTAATTTGGGGGATAGCTGTACTTTCCTGACATTTTGGGGCCTCAAGAAATTAGTTTGGCCATCAGTACTTCGGGACTGATTAATTTTCAGATATATCCCATACTTTGTGAACACTATAACTTTCCTACAGACTAAATAATACTAATTTGGGTTATTTTCAAAGAAATGTAGGAGAATACATCTTGACCTAAATTTATGAACAACAATTATTT